TCCCAAACAGAAGGTGGCAGGAAGGTCCTCCTCTCATCCACCACTTTTCCATGCGGCCTTGGTGCCTTCCCTGAGGGTCCCTTCCCCTCTTAGATTCCTCCTGAAGCTCAGGCTGGGTACCCAAGATCTCTACCTTCTACAGAAAAAGATAACCACTCATTGTCCTGGTCTTGGCCCTCAGAAGTAGGTGGAACAAAACGTTTCTCAAGCTCATCAGCCTTTACTGGTGGGTTTACTCCAAGAAGCAGACCAGTCTTCAGCCCTTCTACCATCATGTACCTCCCAAATCTACAACTATAGGTACACACTTCTAGCATTCTTTCCAGTATGTGTTTTCTGACCAACTTCTAGGCACTTGCATGTTTCATTTGTGCATTCAAAGTCTAAAACCACATGTGCCAACTCACCCTGACAATACAGTTTCTTTCCTAAAGTCCATTACCTGGCTAACAATACCACATGATTCTAGAAGTCTTCACATTGATCTGGATTCATCTTGTCCCTCCCCTAATACCTCAAGTCAATTTGCTCACCAACTTCTATGAATTCTTCCTTTGAAATTTCTCATACTTCTTCTGCTGTTCCCATTGCAGGTTGAAACTTCTGTTATCTTGCACCTTAATACTGCGACAACCTCATAGTCATTTTTCCAGCCTCCATCCACTTCCTCACAACAACACATGCAAATGCTGCAGCCCGCCAGCAAAATGAGCTCCCAATGGCCTGCTCTGAGTACATCCTTCCCCTGCTGATGGAACAGTTGTCAGCTCTGTGTGCCCCGTGGCATCAGTCCTAATGCCTTTCTTTGGTAATCAAGGCTCTCCTAGGCTAGTGTGTCAATGCTACTCTGCCTTCCCTCTGTTTTCCCCTTCCTTCCACATGCAAGCTGGTCTCCTCTCCCAATCATGCAGTACCAGGCCTGTCTCTGAGCTGTGCCTCACTCCAAGCTTCTCTCTTTCCAATGCAGTACCATGTGCACTTGTCCTTCCAAGCCCAACTCACGTCCTGGTGCTTTTAGGATTCTGACTGTGAAGACTGGCATCCATGACCTTCTGCCTTCCCTGGTCTCTGCAGCACTTGCAACCCATTTCCAGGTGTGGGCTCCTGATTCAGGACTATCCAGCACTGTTCCGAAGAGCCTCATGAACTTTGTTTTTCCTGTAGCTCTCACAGCCCCTAACACAGTGATGGTTGGGGGCCTGGTCAGTGTTGAGAAAAAGGAGGGAGGATCAATGTTCTGAGGCAGAGGATTATATGAAGTCCCTTCCAGGGATGACTAGACTTTATGTGCAGAGCCCTAAACTCATAAAATCATCTTGTGCTTTGATATCTGGACCAAATTTGATGAGTCACAAAGATGACAAAGTCTGCCTTGGATCCAGAATGAGGAACAAGGGGTCTCCACTGACCCACTTTACTGATTTTATACTTTCTGGATGCCTGGGAGGCCTGGATAGGAGCATTCACTCCTCTCCCTTCAGCTTTTAGTCTGCAAATATCACCTACTGTTTAGAATGGGCCCTTTCCCAGCCCCCTTCTGCTCCTCCCTGAGCCCCTGACACTTATAAATGCATCTTGCTGGCTTTCCAGATACACCCCCACATGTCTGCTGGCATCCCCAGAGCTTGCCCTAGCCTCTTCACTTTTGGAAACACTCTGATATATTAATGCAGGTCTTTGGCAATGGCCAGGAGTTTCTTTTGCTTCAAGAACTGCTCCATGCCATGCAAGAAGGCTCTGAACAGTGGCTAGGTCATTTCTTTCAGAACCTAATATATTTATAGGCTTGGTTCATGTTTAAGACTTAGCAATTCTGGGACTATGGCTCTTTAAGACTCTAGGCAATCCCAGCCACAGTGTAAGTGGGTTTCAAAGTTAAAGAACAAATATGTCTGAAAATTAGATCTTAAATAGAAATTGGTACACTTGAATATCTTAAAATTAAAGATGTTTTTCTCTCTCGGGGCACTAGCAATCAGAAGTTTAGATCCATACATACCACTTTTGTGCCAAAGTAACGTAACCTATGGTAAAAATAATCTGAAATTGTAAGATATTATAAATATGTTAATGATATTTACATTAGCAGTAGCAATAATGTGAAGCATTGTGCAGATTATCGTGAAATGCCTTTTATTCTAGGGATACATTACATCTGATATTATTACTGCCACTGATAATGTTTCGCCAACACTCACAAATCTGAGAACATTTTGTGAGCCCTGTCTCCAAATGTTTGTCTATGCCTGACTCTGTGGCTGACTCGAATTCCTTGTTCACTGTCTGGTGATTCATTGCACTAAATACCATTTTCCTGATAATTAAAAACTGCTCACTGGCAAGTGGGAGCAGGAACAGGCTGATGCAGGATTTATGCAGAAACACAAAATGAGCCAAAAGACAAATGACCTGTTCTGCCTAGCTGAAGGCATTTTTTTTTCTGATCATCTTCTAGGACTTGAAAAAGGCTAGCTGTACTGAGGAAGGGAGGAGTGCCATTCTGGGATGAGGTGGATACAGGGGGAGCCGTCACGTGCATGCACTTGGCCAAATCACGCTCCTGATTTAGCATACAGACTCTAGCCCCAGCCAGAAGCCAGGGCCATCTCCTCGGTCCAGACAATCAGACTTTACTTAGAGGAAAAGCATTGAGTTTGAGCCATTCGTTAGACCAATGATTTGCTTTTTCAGTTTCCCCTTCCCAGTGTGGCAATGCTTTCCTCAATTTCAGGGAAAATGAGTACTGTTCCTACTGTCGCATAGATGCTGCAATTAAGATGTCCTAAATTGACGTTGCATCACCACTTCTGGGCCCCAGGCAGCCTCCTTGGCTTCTGGTGAAAGGCCTCAGTGATACCAAAGCAAAGCCCATAGCCCCAGAGCAGCAGCTGCAGCATCACACATATGTGTGCACACACACGCACACACATGCACGCACTTCTTAGTTCTACAAGCCAGCAAAGCAGCAGACCTCTCTTTTGTGAGTAAACTGCACCCGTCATCACAGTGCAAACTCTCCTATTTCGGTGCACTTAGCTGCACATTACTGGCCCAAAAGAATCCTGGCACTATCAAGAGATGAGCCCTTTCCCTTCTGGGAATAGCTCCTTCCTCGAACTGACTGGGGCCAGTATCTGTAAAGCTCATTAACTCGGAATCCTTTCCCATTCATCCTTATGTACATCTTTACTTGCAAACCATTCATTACAGCACTTTCTAGATTGCTTAATTAGTTTCCATGGAAGAGTTCCTGTAAGACAGCTTAGCATACATCGTTTAAAAGCCCTTGATCTAAAATAACAAGGTAGTTATTTTTAAAGTAACTAATATAACCCTAAACGGCTGACATCCCCCACTGCCCACCCCGCTTGCTTCCCCTTCCTACCTCCCCAAACACTTCCTAGAACAATTTACTGATAATAATAATGAGTCTTTCAGTCCTCACTGTGCATCAGGCACTGTGCTGGCTATGTCACTAGCAATAAATTATTTAATCTCACCAACCACCCTGAGAGGGAGGTGTCGTGCTCTCCGCTGGCAGAGGATAAAACTGCTCAGAGAGGTATACCGACTTGCCACATCATGAGGGGCTAGCAAAACACTTTGGGGTTCTGGCCTCACCTGTGGGTCCCAGCTTCTGGGCTCCTTACCTCCTCTCTCATTGCTGCATGGAATTTGGGAGAAGTCACAGCTTGTTGACACGGGCTTGCTGTCCCTTCCGCATTTTGAGTGCATCTGCTGTTGCCAGTTGCACACTGGCTGGCTTCTACCTGCGGCATCTGGGTCCCTTTGCCCCAGTGCTTTCTCTGGACCTGCAGCCTCCCCACCCACCGGTGCAGCAGGCAGCCCCCGACCGATCGGTGGGAAGTGGTGCGAATCAGTACAGAAATAACACAGCTCTCTTGACCCACCTCCCCAGGGTAGGACAACTCTGAAGCAGGTGGTCACCTAGATATTATTTAGGTGCTAATCTCAAGGAGATTAAGCCTGCTTAATGGCCCACGGTGGTCAGTGGCCTGAGAATACACCTCGAAGGCCCTGCCTTTCCACCACCCACCACCATGAAAACAGGCTCTGTACTTTGCCTAATGACACATCGAACATGTTGAAAAATTACACTGTGAATGAATCCATTTGTTTCTTGGGTTCCATTTACCTTTTTGGTCCCTTCTCCATTTTTTGAATGTTATTTTTTTCTGCAATGACAATTCTCTACTTTGTCCCCATGCATACCTATTTATCTTGCCACTGTATATGTCAGTGACAAGGTCTATATTCCTTTATGTATTTCTCGTTCACCATTTTATTCGTTTTTCATACTTCAGTGTGTCTGAAGGTATGAAGCTTCAATTACCATTTTTCTTTCATTGCACCTCATTTTTTTCTATGTAGACGCTGCTCTTTTCTCTATTAGTATTTTCTAAGCCTTTCTCTTCACATTTTCTCTTCTGGTATACTGTCTCAGCCCTTCCATCTTGAGGTTTTTGTAACAGCAATTTCTCTCTCTCTTTTTAAAAAATCTGTCCTCATCCCTCTTGCGGCCCTGCACCACAGCCGTCAGTTATAACCTGAACGGTGGCCTCCGCTCAGGAAAGTTGTCAGGTTGATAAATATTGATATCTGCCCTACCATTTTACCACCACTTTCCTGCTAATGTATTTGGTTGGCATCAATCAGCTTCTTTGCCTTCTGTGGGTGCCTGGTGCGGGAACCGGTTCCGATCTGTCACTTATAAGTAATCTGTTCCACATTTCATCAAGAGCTCAAAAAGAGAAGAAAATATGGAGGAGAAGTAGAGGACAGAGAACCAGGCTAGGCGGCCCAGAGGGAAGGGAGATGGGGAGGCGGGCCGAGCAAGGAGAGGAGAGGCAGAGGAAGGTTGTGGCCTGATATATAGGAGAGGACCCCCAGGAATACCCTGAGTGCTGGGAACATCAGCGGTGCTTAATGACCACCCTGTGCTCTTTGGGATGTTAACCCTGCTTATCTCCTCCAAAAAGGCTCCCCAGGAATGAAGATCTACATTGACCCCTTCACTTATGAGGACCCCAACGAAGCTGTCCGGGAGTTCGCCAAGGAGATTGATGTATCTTTTGTGAAAATCGAAGAAGTCATCGGAGCAGGTATGGCTCTCCCCTCCCTATTTCTGTTCACTTAGTGTCCAAACGTTTTTTCCCCCCACCATTCTAAGTGTTATTATCTTGCTGCATGAAAAGTCATCCCATTAGAAAGAGAGCTTCTGCCCTTTTTTCTCCTAGAAGATGAGTCTGATCCATCTGTAGCATGTGTGTAGAGCACAGAGGGAACATCACTTGGGATCTTCTGGGGACCTTGAGCCTGGTGGCCAAGTTTGTCTGGTTTTGCAGAGAAGTCAGCCATAGTTTTAAAATATTCAAAAATAGCTCTGGAAATGGACCATCAAAGGAAGATAATGAGAGAGATGGGGGGGGTACTAGGTCTAGAAGACTTTGAAAGAAAGATAGACTTTTAGAAGCTGGATCTAATATCCTACTCACTGACAATGATATCCCAGTGACTTAGGGCGAAGATTTCTTGCCATACTTTGAGTTCTTCTTTTCCTATGTACATGTATTTGGAGACAGACCATGATAAATAGAAGAGAGACTGCTATTTCCATAATGAAGTCAATCCATAGCCGTATTTTCTACAAAAGAGCTATGGTATAGATGGTAACACAAGGCGAATTTCCCTCTTAAGGAAAGTTCGCGCTCTTATCCGTCTTCCTGCGTTGGAATAGAAACCCAGCTCAACATAGAACTCGCTGCCTGAGATGGTCTTGGGAAATTATACCTAAATATTGATGCAGAATTTTCATCTTTCTTTAATGGGTTGGTAGTTGAGTCAATTGGGGAGTGGACTGAGCCTTATTAATGCAAATGAAATAAAACATCTCAAAATATCACTAATTTAAAAGAAATATCTTTAGTGCCTCTTATGAATCTTCCTAAAAAATGTGTTTGATTTGTGTCCCTCTCCCTACTTTTATTTTCTTCTACAAAACTTTTTATCTTTTCTTCTTTTTCTTCAGTTCTTATTAGCCATTGCCTAAGCTCTCTTGACTAATATGTGGTAGTCTTCTTTCAGGGTACTAGGTCTATAGGTGCATTATTCATATCAGTATTTGGAGATACATGGGGTTGCCTCTTCCAATAATATTTAAACTCAATAAAATATGTTTAGTCAAAGTCTTACAGACAGCAACTTCATATATTATCTTTAGGGGGATGTCACTATCCTTCCGTTCACTGCCTCTCTTAATGCACTTAGGGGTCAAAAGCCATTTGTGAAATTGGAAGTCACATTTGAAAGCCTGCCCCATTAGGCTGCCATTTTCATGCTCTGGGTTCCCTCTTGAAGAGCTTTGTCCTTACACCTCTTTCCGCATCAACCTGGTGGGTGCTGGAACCCTCCCTGTCAGGTCCCACCATCCCCTCCTGCCACCCCCTCAGAAGTTCCAGCTGGGTGACCAGAATCTGATCCACACGAGTCTATGTACATGTCCCATTGACTTTCATTAAATATGTTACTGAACCACGACTTTTCACTTCTGTGCAGATAATTTTCTCTTCCTCCTTAGATGCTGACATATTTAAGGATCATGCCTTGGAAGGCTGGATACCAGATAAATTGGATTGCTCCTAGGGCTCAAATTTCTCCAGCAAACTTGAAGGAGCATTGGGGAGGCGGGCTTTCAGTCCTGCACTCTTGTTTGCTCGCGTTATTAATTGTTGTTATAACTCGCAGTAATGGTGCTAGTGATTTTAATGTTGTTATTTATGTCACGTGCTTACAGTGATGTGTTGTGGGCTGCATTTCATCCCAGGCAGCGCATGTCAGCCCCCTCCTGCCTTCATCAGGGGAGGAGTAAAGAGCCTTTCCCTTTATGACCCTACTAGGCAGTTACAATTTGAGGTGAGCTCACCAGCTGTCAGATGCTTGCAAAGGGACAATTGATAGTCCTGCTCTGTCCTTCACCTCCACTTGCGTGTAGCATTTGCCAGTGCTCCATGCTTGTGCATTCTGCTCAGAGAAGGTGCAGTCCCCTCTGTGGCTCCCATGGTACTGGGAGGAGAGTGATGCATCTAGAGGTTTCTGGAATGTCCAGCTGTGTGGTCCAAAGACCTCTGCCCACCTACTCCTGGCGACCCTCTACCAGACAGCCATCTCTTCGTGATTCAGAACATCCCAGAGCTAACCCGTATGGATGTCAACTTACTACGCATAACTTGATGAATTTTATCACAAGACGTTCCTGGGGGAAAACCAATCTTTCTCCAGTTTTTTCCTCCTCTCTCATCACCCCCCCTCACCCTGCCTCTCTGAAGTTTACTTCACTTTGTGATAAAAGAGCTGGTGTGAAGGTCAAATTATTTTTTAAATGTAAGGAATTTTCTAAGATTTATGCAGTGTAACTGGCAGTGCTTCCTTTAGCCACCCAGGAGATTTTGAGCAGGGGGCAAAAATTGGGTTGCAAAATGGTAATAAAACATAAAAAGAAGAACCAGAAGTCATTTATTCTTCCTTTATTTTTTCTCACTTCCTCCTACCTTCTCTCTCCCTTCTCTCCTTCTCTTTTACTGAATACTTCTTACATGCTGGATGTGGAATTCTAGAGATGAATAAAAAGTTCTCCCCCTCAAAGGGCTGACAGACTTAGTGAGAAATGAGCAGGCTGGAAACAGTTAATTATCTCACACTATCCACAACACAGGCACATACAAAGTGCTGGGCCCACACAGAGGAGTGTTCAGCTCCTTCTTCTGGTAGAGGCTGGGGTATCAGGAAGGTCACAAAGAATGACTATGGCCTGAGCCTTCAAGGATAAAAACCAGTAGACAAAGTAAGCTTTTATGAAACATATTTAAAGAATGAGACAGTGGTGAGAGGAAATTAAGTGATTTAAGATGAAAATGAACATGATCTTCCAGCAGTGACAGCCTGCACTAGAGTGCAAAAACCGATTGTGCGCATCTCTTTCCAGCCTCATGTTCAGTGACATCAGGTTGGTGGCTTGACATCTGCCATAGTGGGAGTATTTACACCATGGGAATTGGCAAATGCTACCCATGAATCATTCATTCCCTCCCTCCCTTCCTCCCTCCCTTCCTCTCTCTTTGTCTTTCTTTCTTTTCTGGAGAGCCAGTAGTTAAATGCTTACCAGCACACCCCTGTCCTCCAGACTGTGAAGATTTATTTCAAAGAGGTTGCAGAACAAGCAGCCTATGCCTGCCGAATATACAGCCAGAGGAGAAGTCTGTGTTTGTTGCAGGAGGGATTAAGTTACGAGTTCAAGAAGGTCCTTCTTCATTAAACATTGCTTCTGTGTCTGTGACTGTGGTCGATGCTGGGAAAATACACTCTATGCCTAACAATTCCTGCTATGCAGGGGTTATTGTCTAGTATTCAGACACTCAGTGAGAGGAAGGTAGTGATTGACAGCTAAGCAGAAAGGCACAGAGAACGTGTAGCCCTAGAGATGGCAGGGGAGGACTCAGGGGAGAGGGAATTGAGGAGGTAGAGACTCTGTGTGGGCTGATGCTGTATGGACCATCCTGAAGGCCAAGGCAGAGAAGGCTGCTGGGAAGGGTTTTCCTATGAGTAAGGTTTGAGCACGGAGTCTGGAGAATCAAGCTGGGGCCTAGGTCCACAGAGTTTGCTGCATGAATTTTATCCCATACAAAGCAGGTTCTTACCAGGGTGGGTGATAGGAATACAGTTCTGGGGAACTGAATCTGATAAATGCTGTGTTTGGATTAGAGTTGCAGAGGATGACGGGAAAGGGTAGGTAAGACCTGGGGGGCATGGAGACGAGTTATGGGGCTTTGCTTAGATGCATGGAGAGGTTTTGAAGATGGTGGATGCTGGAATCAAAGGTGGGAATGAAGGCTGCATAGAAGTAACTAACCTTTTCCAGACTCGGTGTATTCAAACGAATGTAGTGAATGGAGAGACTAGTGGGCTTGGTGCCCGGAGCTGATGGGGAAAGGTGGCACAGCGGTGGTGGCCAGAATGAGGGCACAGAGTTCAATATCTTGAAGAGTGAGTAAGGCTGCCCAGCACCCAGGGTGTAGAGAGTGGTGGCTGTGCGTGTGAGTTAAGGCCAATGGCATAAAATCTAGGAACTGTGAGGTGGAAGAATTGCATCAATCGTCACAGTTTCTCCTACAGTTGTTGATGTTGAACAAAGGATTAAAAAACAGTAATTGTGAGCTAGGTGTGACAACACCCAAGAAGACAATAATTAATCATTATTTATTATGTACTTGTTTGCTTAATGTCCATCTTTCCTCACAAGGCTCAAAGTTCCATGGGAGCAAGGGAACTTGAGTTTTTTATTCTGGTACCTGGCCTAGTGCATAACACATAGGTGTTTGATTAAATATTTGTTGTATATGATGAATAAAAGTCTTTGGGGGGAAAACATGGCAGGGATAAAAATTTGGAGGACTGGGTAGAGTTTGGGAGAATGGAGAGAGACTGAAGAGGTGGAGTGAGATCATGAGTGGTTTGGTGCTCTGAAAATGGCCCAGTGGAGTGAGGAAAGCCAAGCCTTCCTCTTCTCCCTGCAGATAATAGGGGTAATTGAAGTCTCTTTAGAGAGGGCAGCAGGCTGCCCTGGTATCTTTGAAAAATATCAGCTCATTGTTACCGTGAGTCTGACTAATATGAGTCATCTTATAGGTCAACTCCAATGGATTGATTAATTCTGATCAGTTTGATCAATAGACTTGCTCAAAGCATAAACCAGGGCTACCATGTACAACTGGGCTCTGCAGCATGAATGGCACTCCTGGGTGGTGAAGTGTGCAACCCGTATGATTGTATGCCACTGCCTGAGCATGACTGTCAAGTGCATGAATATGTAGGTAGTGGTGTCACCAGAAGTTGTTATCTAGGAGAGGATATGCCAATTGTATTTTAATTGATAAATATGCAATGGATGGTCGTGAGAGAGACAAAAGCTTGCAGTGAGTAGTCTGAGTGAGAACAGTGGAGTGAGGGAATGTATGATGTGTATGGATGGGGTTGGGGTTACTCATGTGAGGCCAGCAAGGGCCAGCACATCTCTTTTTGAAGAAGAGGATGGGTTTCCTTGGGGATG